TATCCAGTTGTTTGTAACGTAGTCCTCGGGTGTATATGTGTTTGGGGGGAACGTCCTTAAAGTCAGGGGCCCCTGTAATATTGTTCTTTGATTTCTCATAATCACCTGGACTTGACAAGAGTCAGGTTCAGCACATAAGTGTCATCAGGACTTGCAGGCACCTGGTTTTCTCTGGGCCTGGATTCTTGCTGGTCCAGCAAGCCAGGAGGAGTGGCTGTGGCGGGAACATAAGTCCTGTGGGATGGCCATGGGAGGGACCCTGTCTCCATGCCTTCCATCTCCCAGGCACACACTACTTTAGTCATCAGCTTTGTCCCTGTCACCCACTCCCCTTCTGTGTTCCCGGGGCCTAATTCCTACCCCTCCAAAACCTTTCACAGGCACTAGGCCATTTCACTCTTTTTTTTCTCCCGTTGCGGAGCACAGGCTCCGGACGCGCAGGCTCAGCAGCCATGGCTCACGGGCCCAGCCGCTCCGCGGCATGTGGGACCTTCCCGGACCGGGGCACGAACCCGTGTCCCCTGCATCGGCAGGCGGACTCTCAACCACCGCGCCACCAGGGAAGCCCCATTTCACTCTTAAAGCAGACCTACAACGATAAAGACGTGGTAGATATTTTTATCCCCATTTCACAGAAGGAAAAGCAGCTCAGAGATTTGCTAAATGCCCCAGAATCAGTGAGCTAAGTGAGAGAGTAAGCTCAAGAAACAAGATTTTTAAAAAATTCTTGCTCCAGTTCCTGTCTTACGTGCCTCCCGAACGAACTGTTGCACTTTTTCACTTGAGTTTCCTATATTGAGCGTGTGTTCAAGTGGTTTTCCCTGGAAAGGTGGTCTGTTTCTCTGGAAAGATTTGTTTCTACTGTGGTGTACTTGCATTATGTAGACTAGCAGGTTACTGCTGGAAGAGTCTAGAACAAGAAACAAGTATCTTGGAGATCAGTGGGCCCAAAATGCTTGATTTTACAGATGTGGCCCAGAGAAGTCAAGCCATTTGCCCAAGGTCACACAGCCAGTTCTCAGCAAAACCAGTTGTGCAGATTCCCAGTCTCACACCCCTTGCTTTCCACCAGGCCCCGTGACTCTGCTCTGTAGGGCCCTTGGTTCTGTCACCAGAGAGAGGGGGGTAGAGACCGCAGGGAGGGCAGGAAGCAGTTGGTTTGTGTCACTCACAGCTGCTCATTTGGCTGCGCCTGCCTTTTGCTCCTTTGCCCCGTCTCTCCTTCTCACCATTTTCCCAGTCCTGAGCCAGCAGCCATGTCTGCCTCCTGGCCGAGGGGCCAGGGTTTGTGAGCCAGGGGGCCACTCCTCTGTTCATCGCAATGAGGCGGAGGGGGGGTCCTTCCCGCCCTGGGGGAGGGCTAGCTCGGGTGGGCTGGAGAGAAGGCACTCCAAAGGGGGGAAATTTGGGGTGGGAGCCATGGAACTGGATTAATTCTGCAGATCCAGGGGACTGGGAAATAAATCATGTTTTAAAAAGGCTTTTTTTTTTTTAAAGACAGGCTCGTTTCTGGTCCGCTTCCCATTTTCCTTTGGAAAGAGGGAAGGCCTGCTTATTGGGGGGGAAGGGGGTGGGCATGAGTTCAGCTTGTTGCACATTTAGGAGTGGGGGCTCGGTTTCCAGAGGCTGAGGGATCTTCTCCTGTCTGCCCTCCCTGGCCTGCCCAAATGCCCACACTCAAAAGGCCCAGAAGGGCATCGGACCCTTCAAGATGACTGTTGAAAAAACCAACCAAGCAGCAAAGGCCTCGGGAGCATTTAGTCCACATGGGCCGACAGCCTTCACTTCTCTCCCCTGGGGATTTGGAGCAGCTCCCCATCTCTGACAACCTCATCTCCCGGCCTTGGGTCTGGCAAACCACTGCCCACAGGCCAAGCCCAGCTCACCATGTGGTTTTTTTTTTAATTTATTTAATTAATTTATTTATTTTTGGCTGCGTTGGGTCTCCGTTGCTGCGTGCAGGCTTTCTCTAGTTGCGGCGAGTGGGGGCTACTCTTTGTTGGGGTGCGCGGGCTTCTCATTGCAGCGGCTTCTCTTGTTGCGGAGCACGGGTGCATGGGCTTCAGTAGTTGTGGCACGCAGGCTCAGTAGTTGTGGTGCACAGGCTTAGTTGCTCCGCGACATGTGGGATCTTCCCAGACCAGGGCTCGAACCCACGTCCCCTGCATTGGCAGGCGGATTCTTAACCACTGCGTCACCAGGGAAACCCCCACCATGTGGTTTTGTAAGTAAAGTTTTATTGGCACACAGCTCGTTCATTCCTCTATGGATTGTAACAGCAGAGGTAAGTAGTCTCGACAGAGACCACGTGGCCCACAAAGCCTAAAATATTGACTCTCTGGCCCTTCACAGGAAGTCCGTCGACCCCTGTTTTAGCAGAACACATCTTCCTGGGTCCTCCAGGCCCAGGCCAAATGAATTCCCTTGGCTCACTGACGGACATTAGCACTTCCCAAAACATTTCCTTCCGAAGAACCCAAAGCAAAGTGTACAAAGTAACGAAGCCAGCAGAGATGGAGATAGGTGTGGGCGACCTCTTAGTTGGCTCAGCCCAGGGCTGGGTGTGGCCAGATGGTGTTGGGATGGGTCTGGCGTTAGGCCTGCCCAGGGGCGTTAGGATGGCCTTGCTGGGTGGCAGCCACTTGGCCACGTTTGGGGCACAGCATCAAGAAGTCATAACCCCAGCAAGATCTGGCACCAGACAATGATGCCCCACATTCTGAACTGAGACCCCCCTCACCTCAACCACAGCAGTTGAAAGCCTCGGAGTGTGTCTGCTTTGTCTCGGCCCTGCCAGGGCATGAGAGCTGGGCCAGCATGGCTCCTGCTGTCCCAGGAGGCTTCTGGCTGCTAGGCCTGGTCAGAGACTCTGGCCACAGGATGCCTGTCTGTGGATGTAGTCCCCCAGAGTCCCTTTACCCCCAATTCCAGCTGACCCAGTGTCTGTGGGAAGCATCTCTGTGTGCTACCATTTTCTTGATGCGTCTAGTATTGAGATGCCATCTGGTTCTCGTCCTTGCAACTCCAGGAGCCTGATTTTCCTGCTGCCCCCCAGAGCTGATTGAACCAAGCCCATGGGATATGCCCAGGGAAGAGGTTCAGAGAGGTTAAGTAACTTTATCAAAGGGGCAGAGCCTGGATTTGAATCCAGACAGACTCCAGAGGCCGCGCCACACCTCTCCAGCGGATCCCCACTCTGTTGGTTTACAGTGAGCAGGGGAAGGGCCAGGCTTCCCAGGGCTACGTGGTGAGCCAGCCTGCAATTGGAAGGTGGCTTGCTGAGCGAGGGAGAGTTAGGTGCTTTAAATGGTGAGCGGCATCAGACTGAGGCCTGAAGCCTGTGTCACCACAAGAGATGAACACTGTACTAGCTGCGTGACCTGGACCAAGTTACTTAACCTCTGGTTCAGTCTTCACCTGCAAAATGGAGGGAGCTCCTTATCACTGGAGGTTTATTATGAAAAACAGATGAGTTACTACATGTAAGTGCTCAGCACAATGCTTGGTGTACAGTAGATGCCGTATAAATGTTGCTGCTGTGATGATTACCATTACTATCTATCAGGCCGCTCTCCTGGCCAACACCAGGCAAGCAGCCCAAGGGTTTGCCTCTCAGACTTGCATCTGCACGTTTCCTTCTCGCTGTAGCCACTGTAGCCAACGCTGTTCTCCTTTGGAGGCAGCGAGCAGTTCAGCAGAGGAAGCACCAGTTGGGGTGTCCCAGACCTGGTTCCATTTCTGGCTCTGCTACTCTGGCCTCTTGGGAACTTGGGCCAGTTCCTTCCCCTGTCTAAGCTCAGATTCCACCCCTGTAAAATGGGGCAAAAGGTGTGTACCCAGCTCAAGGACCTGGGTGTAAATGAGCCACTGTTCACTGTAGGTAAACTGTCAGCATTACGTGTTGACCCTCTGATATTCTAGAAATGTCCACACCATTGATTAGGCTAAGAGCTTTTTGCCTCATAATGTTACCATATCACATCTCATGATCTTAAGTTGTTTTAGGTGCTTTGACATTGTTCCTCCCTCTCGGCAGGAAGACAACTTTTAACCTCATTTCACAGATGAGGAACCTGAGGCCCAGATCGCACATGGCTGTCTGAGCCTGGACGAGAGCCCTCGTTTCTTCTGGTCACTAAAGGTCCCCGTTCTTCTGGGTTGGAGTTGGGGTGTGAGACTTTTTTTTATGGTTTATTTATTTATTTATTTTGCTGTACGCGGGCCTCTCACTGCCGTGGCCCCTCCCGTTGCAGAGCACAGGCTCCGGACGCGCAGGCTCAGCGGCGGCCATGGCTCACGGGCCCAGCCGCTCCCCGGCATGTGGGATCTTCCCGGACCGGGGCACGAACCCGTGTCCCCTGCATCGGCAGGCGGACTCTCGACCACTGCGCCACCAGGGAAGCCCAAGAGACTTTTTAAAATGAGGCTTCCTTCCATTTTGCCAGGGCCTGTCTGTCTTCCTCAATGCTTAGGGCTGGACAAGACATTGAGGCCCAGTGGTGCGGTGGCTGGAGACTGGCCTTGGGCTCCCCAACCTGACGTTTAAGGTTCCAGGCCCAGGCTGCTGAGCGTGCTGGCCTGGTGAGGATCACGGCCAGCCACCCACATGGCCAGAGAGGAAGGTCCAGGCTGCCTTCTCCAGGGCAGCGATAACCCACGGGCCCTGTTCCAGGCCCGGATCGTGTAGGATTCTCTGTGCTCCAGAGGATTCCTGCGTTTTGCAGACACCTCATTATCCCCGTCCTGGCCAGCAGTGTCCCAGCTCCTCTGTAATCACTCAGGCCCACGCCCAGCAGCACTTCCAGGGCCAGGAAACCACTCGCCTCGCCTCGCCTCGCCTCCCCTCCCCTCCCCTCCCCCCTCCTTCTCTTCCCTCTCCTTCCGCCCGGTGGCCGACTCAGCGCCTGCTGAGTGTGGACCTCCTGCCTGCCTAACGGTTCTCTCTTCTCCTCTGATTCTCTTCTCTCCTGCTGCTGCTTGCTCTCGGGGGGAATCGGAAGTGTGGCTCTCCAGCTGGGCTGAGTCTCCTAAGAAGAACGTGACAGGTACTGCCTGGTGTGCATGTGAGTGCATGTGTATGAACATGTGTGTCCCTGGCATGCAGGCCCACGGAGCCGGTGCCCTGTGATGTGTAGCAGCTCTTTGTCAGCATGTTGGCGTCTTCTCGGCCGTCCCCTTTGCCTTCCCTTTAACCCTTTTTAGGTCCCAGATCCAGCCTTGGAGCCCTTTGGTGGGTGATGACCACATAGCACAGTGTGTCAGCAAATCCACCCTGGACCCGGAACGTGTGGGTTTAAATCCCGGCTCTGCCACGTCCTGGTCTCGGGTTACGTAACCTCTCAAGCCTCACTAAGCGGATGCGGTAGCATCTCACCGGGAGCCTGGGGCACAGAAAGTGCTCAGGTGGTGGTGAGGCTCCCATCACCTTCCACCCCTGTGAGATGGGGCAGCTGAAGATGATTAGTCTCCCTTCAGGCTGTTAACCCGAGTCAGAGAGCTGAAGTCTCCAACACCCCAGCTGAGGCAGTGGTGGGTAATGGGGTGGGGAGTCTTGTAACTGCAATGAAGTCGCAGCCCCCACACCCCAGGGATCCAGAGCTGAGACCTGCCTCTGGTCTTGGGGCTTCTGGACCTTGGGCTTCCTGGGCACCCATAGCCCTCAGGGACTTGGGCTTGTGCTCTGTGTCTGGGCAGAGCTGGGACAGAGGTCAGAGGCTTACCTTTAGCCTTGATTTTACTGGACAATGGTAGAAAGACCTGGATAGCAGTGTTCTCAGCTGTTAGATGGAGATGGTGTCAGGTAGAGGGAAGGGATTTCCAGAAGGGTCTTCTAGAAGCCCCTCCATTTTTGCGAGTGCCACCTGGCCCTCCTTCCCCAGCCCAAACCTGAGAGCAGAGGTGAGGGTCGGGGTTGGGGGACAAAACAGAAAGGTCAGAGGTTGAGGGGAGGGGGTTGGACCAGCCCCTCCCCTCACAGCCGTAGGCAGGGAACGGGAGGTGAACAGCCTGGGCAGGCGGGCAGAGGAGAAGGCAGCAGGCAGAGGACCTCTTGCCTGTCCCAAGCCCCTCGCAGTCATCCTTCTCGTGTTGCCTGTGACGAGGGCCTCGGCCTGAGCTAATCACTGGGCTCCCGTCCCTTTTTTCCCTCTCCCCAGACAGTGAGCCAGAGCCCACTTGGCCCACAACAATACATTTTATTCACCAAACGTATGGCCTGGCTGCCCGAGGGCCTATGGAGAAGCCGGCAGGCTGAGGCTGGCCTGGGAGGAATCAGTTGTGAGAGACTGAAGAGGCCTTGGTGGGACACCCAGGGTTTGGGGGGTCATGGAGAGTGTGGGGAGCCTAGGATGGGGGCCACCGTAGGGACTGGCTTCTCAGGATGAGCCCAGCTGTTTGGAGAGAGAGCCTGAGGGGAGGCCATGTGGGCTGGGGGAAACCACCAGACCAGGGCCGGGGTCTTGGGCGAGTCGCCACGTCACTCTGGGCCGGCCTTGGTTTCCCCATCTGGAATGTTGGCAAGTTCAGTGAGACTGGAAACTCAGAGGTAAGGGGCTGATGCTGGGGAATCCTTGTAGATAAGGGGCCTCAGGCTGCTTGGGCTGGCATCCATCCATAAGTGGGCCCTGGGGGTTCTGATATGGCTCTCCAGCTGGCAAATGCTCGCTGCCTGCCAGGAGGTGGGGTCTGAGAAAGGCATGAGAAGGAACAGAGCCATGGCCGCTTCTCCTGGCAACTGTGGCCCTTGCCCTGACCTGCATGCTGGGGTTTTGTTTGTTTGTTTGCTTTTTTATAAATTATTTATTTTGGCTCCATTGGGTCTTTGTTGCTGCACGCAGGCTTTCTCTAGTTGCGGCAAGTGGGGGCTACTCTTTGTTGCGGTGCACGGGCTTCTCATTGCGGCGGCTTCTCTTGTTGTGGAGCATGGGCTCTAGGCGTGCGGGCTTCCGTAGTTGTAGCATGCAGCCTCAGCCTGTCGCGGGCTCTAGAGGGCAGGCTCAGTAGTTGTGGCGCACGGGCTTAGTTGCTCCACGGCATGTGGGCTCTTCCAGGACCAGGGCTCGAACCCGTGTTCCCTGCACTGGCAGGCAGATTCTTAACCACTGCGCCACCAGGGAAGCCCCTGCATATGCTGGTTTTGAGGCTTAAGAGGAACCTAAGCCCTTCCTCTCCTCCCCAGATCTCCCATTTTCTGTTTGCTTTATAAACAGTCTACAGTTTACATAGGGCATTAACCCCATCACCTTATACCATGCTCAGAACAACCCCACAAAGTAGGTACTGTTATTGTTCCTGTTTATGGATGAGGAAACTGAAGCTCAGAGAGGTTAAGTGTCCTCTGCAGGGTCACAGAGCTAATAAGGACAAGGCAGGACCGGACTTCAGACCCTCAGACTCCAGCCTGATGCTTTCGCATCACGACTCTCAGGCAATTATTGTGTCTAGTGCCATGTCCTATGGCACCAGTCCTGAGGCGTCTGTCTACCCTCATCAGGGAGACTCTTGTCTAAAGCACATGATCTGGCTGGGGAGCAGTGCCCCACAAGAAAATCCAGTGCATGGCAGGAGCAAGCACTGTAGCTGAGTGATTGGATGGCTCCTGGAGGGGCAGAGATGGTTGGGTAGAATTGGGGTTGGTAAAGGGGAAGGCATTCCAAGCAGGGGGAACAGCTAAAGCAGAGGCATGGACATAAGAACCAGCATAGAAGAGTGTGACTGGCACACAGTGGGTGCTTGATATATGTGTGTTGGATAAATGAATGTTGCCTGGATCAGAGGAGTTGTGTGTCAGGGAACTTGGGGAGCTCAGGTTGTCAAGAAAGACTGAGCTTGAATTTGGCCTTCCTTCTTTAGGCAGCAGGGACCCAGTGTAGGTGCTGGAGCAGTGGATTGACTTAGCAAAAGCCTCATTTAGAAGCCTAAGTTGGCAGCCAGATCAGGTAGGAGGCAGGGGTCCATCCAGTTGGTAGCTAGAGGAATGCAGGTGTGAGGCAAGCATGGGGCAGAGCTCTGGGGCACTGCCAGAGCCCCAGCAGATCCAGCCAGGGGCTCTGAGAAAGGCATAAAGATGAGATGGATGAGACCCTGACAAAAAGTCCCGTTCCAATCTGGGGGGGACTCTTCTCTCTATAAGGAGTACTCCCCTTCTCCATGCCACTGCCAAATGCTTCCTATCTGAAGACAGGAGGCTCGCTCCACTGCATCTCCCCCTCCCTCGGGCTGACTCCTTCAGCCCCCAATTTTCCAGGCCTTGGCTGGGAGGGGATCCAGAGCAGCCTCTGTGGGATGACATCACCCACCGGCCTGCCTGCCGAGTGTTTTCTCATCTGGATACCTGCTCCCAGCTCACACCCGTCCGAGCAGCCCTGGGCAGGCAACACCCTAAGAGGTAGATGCCAGAGAGCGTGAGCTTGTGCTGGGGGAGGGGAGGGCAGTGAGGAAGACAGAGTGTCTGTCTGTGTGTCCATCTGTCCGTCCCTAGGCTGTGTGCTACTGCCTGTCTTCTGTGCTCTGGAATGCCTGGAGAACATTTTCTTAACTTTCCTACCTGTGTCCCAGAGTGTCAGTCTTCAGAAAGCTCAGGCCAACTTCCAAGGGGTGGCTTGGAGGTGGGAGCAGTATGCGGGTTTTTCCCCTTTGAAATCTTGCCTCAGATTTCCTTGGCTTGGATTAAAATGACCTGATGTCTCTCCATTCCCCAGCACCCCGCTCATCCTCTCGAGCAGCTTTTGGCCACAAACCCATCACTCCTTGTTTCTCCCTGCCTCTGTTTCCCCATCTCCCCTTTTTCTCCCTTCCAGAATTTAGTTCTCTAGTTTCCCCAGATTTCGGAGGTGAGGCCCTGCCTGGTTTATCCGTATTGGCTCAAAGCAAGCCGTTAAATCACTGTTCATCTATCTGTCCATTCATTCATTCATTTCACCAACAGTTACAGAGTGCCTACCCGCAGTGGGCACTGTGGTCTGGTCAACAGATGCTACAAGAGTCGAGAAGAAACCCACACTCCAGTCTTTATTAAGCAGCAACTATTTGCCAGATGTGGGGTGGGCAGGATGAGGCAGGGCCCCTCCTCGGGATCAGTGGCTCTCTATAGGCCACAGACAGGGCGTGAGTCAGGACACAAGCAGCAGTGTCAGGAGGACATGGGTTCGATCCCAGCTGTGTGACCTTAGGAAAATTGCCTCGTGAGCCTTACTTAGTCTGCCTGTGTGTGAACTGGGGCTATAACAAGGGCCTGCACCTGGGTTGTTCTGAGGATCAGATATGGTCTGCATTAGGTAGTGCTGTCCCGAGTGAGCACTAACGAAAGCTTGCTATTAATTGTCAGCATCATCTGGGCTCTCAGGCTTTGGAAGCTCTCTAACCAGCTGGAGAACTCCTGTCTTCTGTTTGTATCTTGAGTTTTCCTTTCCCACAAACTGGAAAGGGAGCCCCTGTGTCCCACAAGGGCAGGGGCTGGCCCTTTTTGTGCTGGGTGCACTCACTGCCAGCCCCCCGGGGACACAGTGGGAGGCAGTCTCTGTCAGCTCCGTGCCCAGCGCTGCCTCTGTGCAGCTAGCAGGGGTAGGCACAGAAGCTGGCCCAATCTGAATGCAGAGCCAGGCCCGCCCTGCTGCCTAGCTGTTGGTTACATTTTGGCCTGAAATACAATCTTGGCTTCGGATGGGCTGCCTGGGGCAGTGCCTGTGCACATCCATGTGGCAGGCCTCAGCTGGGACAGGGTCCCTCCTGGGTCTCCAAAGGACTCAGCTGGGGCTGCAGGGTCTACACCTCATGAGAGAAAATTGCCAGGCACAGTGGGTTTCCTTCCCTTCCATCGACCCCACCCTAGGTTGGATGGAGTCTCCCGCACAGAAAGACCCAAAGATCTAAGCAGCGTTTCTCACCCTGGCTGTGTATGAGAACCATGGGAGAGGAGGGGGTGTCTAAAAAATACCTGAGACCAATTCAGTCTGCATCTCTGGGTGTGGGGCTCAGGCATCAGTGTACTTTAGAAGCTCCCCATATCTTGTGGGACCAAGTTGAGGATCATCGTGCTAGGAGAATGGGATGTCTGGAAACAAATCAGAGGCAGTTCTGTAATGGAAAGAGAGATGGGCTTGAACCTAAAACACTGAGTGAATTTGGTTCTCTCCATAGCAACTGTGTGAGCTGGGGCAAGCCTCTTGTCTTCTCTGGGTCTCTGAGGTGTCTTTTGTGAAGTGAGAAGGTAACAAGGTTGTTGTGGGGATAAAATGGGACAGTGTATGAGCCTGGCATAGAACATTTGCCAAGTTAGACTCAGGCATGTGGGGAAGGTAGCTGCAGGCTGAAGCACCAAGGGGGCCGTGTGGAGCCTGGAGACCCTCTCAGCCATTTCTATAGCCAGGCTGGTGGTGTGAAGCCCCCAGCCTTTCAGGAGGCTGGTAGATGTATAGGGTGATAGACACAGAGTTTAAGAAGTATGCTAGGAATTCCTCTTGCCGGGGAGATGGAGAGGGGTGTCTGGGAAGGCTTCCTGTAGGAGGTGACCAGAGGGTCTGTGGTTCATGGATCCTTTCAGCTCCTAGCCGGCCATGTGTTATCTTAGGTGCTCTGTCCCCACTGCACCCTAGTGGTGGTAATAGTGAGGCGCAGAGAGCTTTCAGCAGCACATTCAATGCCGCACAGCCAGTAAGCCGAGATGGGCACCCAATCTGTCTACCTTCCAGCCTGGCGTTTGCTTAATAAATGTTGCACTGATCCAGTGGCTAAAGAGGACAGAGAAGCTGCTCGCTCCCTGCCCTCTTCCTGCTTAGCCCCACCTTTTGACCCCTCAAGCTCCTGAAACTGCCAGGAGAGGGCAGCTGGTGGCTTCCGGGAGCCTGACCACAAGCCCCAGCAGAGCTTAAAGGCAGAGGGAGGCTGAGTCGGTCTCCATGTGGCCGGAGGGCGGCAGCCAGGCCGGACGATGCCCCGTCGGGAAGCGGGCCTGGGGGCACGGGCCTGAGGCTGGTCCGCGGGGGACCAGGTCCGTGGGCTCAGTGGCCGCGCCTTGGTAAGCCCGAGGGGCAGCAGTGGAGCCGAACTTGGGGAAAAGTTGGCGGGGGGCGGGCTGGGCTCTCCAGCGCTGGCTCTGGGACTTTCTTCTTGGGTTTCAAGTAAACAGTCTCGGCCCTCCTCCCCCTCCCCTGCCTCCACCCCCCGGCTCCTCATTCGATGGGTCTCATGTGTTTCTATTTAAGGGCTGCGAGTAAACCCCAGTGATTGGCGGCCTCAAACCCTCTTGACTTCTCGCCTGGGCCCAGCCTGCCGTGGAGCGTCCTCTCCCGCTCTCTCCCTCTCCCGCCCAAGGGGAGGACTGCTGACTCTCTTTCTCTGGGTTTACAGGGGTTGAAGAGAGGCCCGAGCCCTCCTCCTCGCCTGGCCTTTCCTCTCGCCTCTGCTCCGGCCTCAGCCCCCATGGGCCACCCGCCCGCCCACCCGCCTGCGGCCCTCCCCTCGCACCCCTGCGGCCGAGGGGTCCGGAGAGACCACGTCCGCCCCAGGCCTCTCCTCCGACTCCCTCTCCCTCGTGCCGGGCTGTGATTAATTCATCGCGGCCGCAGGCTTCTTCCTCTGAGTCCCCTCGGCCTCTGTCTCGTCTCTGTCTCTCCCTCCGCGCCCCCCACCGCTGGCCCCCGGCTCCCCATGTCCCCCGGTCCCCGCGGCACAGCGGGCCGGTGTGGGGCCCTGCTATATGGCCTGTCCTTGGGGCCCGGCGAGCTGCGAGCCCTGGCTGCGGGCGGCCCCTCCGAGCGGCGCTGGCGACCGAGCAGCCTCCCCCGAGGCCGATGGACAGGGGGCGCCCCGGCCGCGGGGCCATGGCTGGCCGCTGGCTCACCGCATGCTTTCTGCCCTCGCCAGGTGCCGACACCCACGCCGAGCCCATGATCCTGGAACAGTACGTGGTGGTGTCCAACTATAAGAAGCAGGAGAACTCGGAGCTGAGCCTCCAGGCCGGGGAGGTGGTGGATGTCATCGAGAAGAACGAGAGCGGTGAGTGCCCAGCTGGCTGGCCGGCCACTGGGGCGAGGAGCCCGGCTGGTTTTTGTTCCCCTCCTCCTCCCCCACCTCTGCAGCTATACGTTATTTCCATCTGGCGGGGAGAGGGCCGAGGAGGCTGAAGTTTCCCCTGTTGGTTTGGGCTGCAGGCCAGCAGTTTGCCTGATGGTGGAAGAATGTCTCCACCACTCGGGGTAATTAACTGGCTTGTGTTAATGCAAGGCCAGGGTGGCAGCATGGGCACGACTGTCCAGCCCATGTTCAGGGTCCCTGTGCCCTCTGAGGCCCCAGCTCAGGGGCATCCTACAGCAGCTTCCCCCTTGGGGCCATATTCCAAACTGGGGACGAGGCCGGGGTGGGAGGACCCGGCTGGCTGGTGGGGAAGGCAGGCCAGGACGTCACTGTAGGGGTCCCGGGTCCTCAGGCGGGTTGTCTGAGGAAAGGTCAGGCCTGTGGAGGTTGGCTAGTGTCTGGGCGGTGAGCTGACTGCCCCCTGCTGAGCTGAAGGCCGCCAGGCCCTGGGAAGAGGGCCCAGATGGGGGATGAAATCAGGTCCTGGGGCCAGGGAGGGTCCTGCAGCAGCCGCCCTGTCATTGGGAACTGAGGCTTTGTCTTGGCTGTCCAGGGGCCTGCCAGTTCCAAGGTTCTCACCGCGTAGGCCTCAGTGCCCTTGGCAGCAGGGGTTTCTGAGGTGGAGAGAGGAGGGCCTGAGTCCGTCAGTCTGAGGTGCAGGCGTGTGTGACCCCTGCAGAGCCAGGGATGAACTCTGGCCCAGGATATCCATCATCAGTTTGCTCATGACCTGCTGGCGCTTGAATTGGTTCCTGGGGTGTTCTGTTTTGGTTTCGGTTTGCTGTGGGGGAAGGCCCCCGTGCGTGCGGGGCGAGCAGGCGCGTTGGAGCCTCTCTGATCTGTGTTTGGAGGACACTCCCAGAGGGGAGGGGCCTGTTCTTCTTTTCCTGTTCCACTCTATTCCCCTCCAGTATTTTAAGCTCTGACAGGAAGACAGATCAAAGGCTGTCTGTGCCCATTCTATAGATAGAATAACTGAGGCACAGAAAAATTGAGGGGAAGTGAGTCACCTGAAGTCAAAAACAGAACAGAACAGTTCTTGGGCCCCTGATTCCTATGCCTGTGGGCAGCAAGTAGCTGTAGAGATACTGAGGAAATCCCAGTGGGCCTCCTGGGGGAGGTGAGATGAGGTTCCTGCTGCAGGGGTCTCAAGAGCTGTGTTCTCTGAGAACAGGGCTGTGATGCCAACAAAGACCTCACTCATGGCCCTCTTGGGTCTGGAGTCTTCAAAGCTTGTTCCCCTCAGAGGTGGCAGGCTCTGCCCTTGTGCCTGGTTGGCAGTGGCTGTCACTAGCATAAAGGCCTGGGCCCTTCACCCCAGGTGCCCACACTGGTCTCCTTCCTGCACCGCTTGGCTTTCAGCCTTTGTCACAGTACCAGCCCCTCCTCCCCGCCCCCACCCAAGCTGCATTGTCAGAGGGGCCTGGCCCTAGGAACCCCAAGCACCTCAAGACCCAAAGGAAGGGCTCTCTAATGGTGGGATTGGAGACACCCACTGAGGAGAGAGAGAGATGTTTGTTTTGGGGCTTGCTCCAAAGGAAGGCGTGTCGGCTTTTCCATATAAGGTCAGGGCTGCTCAAAAGTAGACTTCTGGCTTAGGGACCTCTGCCTTGTGTCACCAGCACAGCTATATAGCCCTAAAGCAGCAGGAGGAGTGAGCCCCCATGTCTCTGGGTACCAGCCACTGGCCAGCATGGCTGAAGAAGAGACCCCACACAAAAGGCAGTCAGCCTGTTACCAGACTCCCTGCTTCCCTTTGCCTCCCACCCCACATCCAGGACCCTGCCTAGGAGTGGAGGAGGGAGAGCCTTGACGAAGTGGGGCTTTTGTGGCAGGCCTGCAAAGTATTAGGCACCTCCTTCTCCTGAGGAGTCCCCGATGGCTGTTTGAGGGGGCTCAGGTAGCCTGAATCCCCAGAGCAGCCCAGTCTGGTACACTGATCCTCTGAGGGAGCTGCCGTCTCTAGAAGCAGGATTCTGCCCACTACCATGTGCCGGCTGGGTGACTTCAAGCCCCTTGCTCCCTCTGGGCCTCAGCTCTCCTTTCTGTAAAATGGAGACAGTCTCGTCGCTGCTTGGAAACAGGGCCTGGAGTAGATGACCTCCACAAGCCCCCTCCCAGATCTGGGCTCCGAGGCTGGGAGACTCCTTAGGGCCCTGGGTGTTGGGTAGACAGAGCCCTGAATGTGGCCTTCCCAATTCTCTGGGCTTTGTGTCTCTCCCCTTGATGGAAACAGCTGCTCAGCAGCAGATATGTACACGGAGACCTTGGAGTGCTGTGTCCACGGTGCAAACCCACACCGTCTGTTGCTGTCGGAAACAAGGAGGCCTCCTAGAGTGTACAACCAGCATAACCAGAGAAACTAAGTGGGTGGAGGGGAGCAAGGAAGAGGGCCAACTGCAGATCCTTGGGAGGGTGGTTTCCCAATTCAAGGAAGCTGGATGGCTGACGGCGGGGGAGGGGAGGTGTGTTGGGCATCCTGCAAGCTGGCTTTGGAAGGAGTGGTGAGTGAGGCTTTTGAACTCTGGAACAAAGACCCAATTGTGATGCCTTTGACCTTAGGACTTGGTGGGCGTGTTGAGGCATTTCCACTTAAATTGTTGGGGCAGTAGCCCCAGTTAGCACCACCCTGCCCCCTGGGGCCTCGCCTTGCCCGCTGGGAGCCAGGACTCTGCCTGTGTCCCCTTCTCGCTTGGCTGAAAGTCCCTCTGAGTAGAATGTTCAAAGAGGGACCCAGCCATCTCTGGTTCTGCTTGCTCATCAGAGCCCTCTGGCAGGGACCACAGCCCCTGAGGGATTTGGAACTGTGCTTGTGCCAATGCTCTGTAATGTCACTGGTCTAAAGAGAGATGTGTCTGATGAAAGGCAATTCAGTCAGTAAACAGTAAACACCAGGTCTAGGCCATGCACTTCACATGCGTCGTCTTACTGACATCATGGAATGACCCCGCGTGGTAGAAGGCACTCTAATCATTTTGTGGCTGAAGTAACAGGCTAAGAGGTTAAGTCATTTCCCTAAAGTCCCAACAGCTGAGATCTCTCCCTTCTACAGAGGAAGTGTGGGGAGGGTGAGAATGGGCTGATCCTGGGAGGGATCATCACTGAGCTGGTGATACTGTGGGTCAGGGACAGACATGGGCTACCTGAGGGTGGTGTATACCCAACACCAAGGACAAGCCTATTCTAGGGAATGTAAGTGGATAGAAGTCAAAGACACCCACAGTGTTGGGACCTGAGTGGCTTCAGGGAAAGCGTTTTTGACCAAACAGTGGGCCTGGGGCCCAGCCAGAGAAGGACTCTTCCTTCATTGATCAGGGACAGATCTAGCAGAAGGATTAGCAACTTTGTTAGCTTTGCCAACCATTTTTGTCTTGTCCTTGAAAACCCCTCCACCCTGACATAAGCAACAATGCTTGAGATACCACCTCTGTAGGACGTTCTTACACCTCAAAGACCACATTGGCTTTACCTTCCAGGAGGCAAAATCTGGTCTAACTTCTGGCAGAATGGTGATGGCAGGGTCCCAGTTGCTCTGATTTCTGTGTTAAGCAAAGCTGCTTCCAACTTTCCAGGATGGTTTCCTTCTCTCAGGGTTAGGAGCCAGGGGAGGATGTGGGGATATGAGTCAGCAGATGCTCATTCTTTTCCTGCTGCAGCTTTCCTTCTCTGAGTCTTCGCGTCTTTCCTGGCACTAGTGTGATAACCCCAGGAGATCTTATACTTTCTTGGAGGCACATAGCTATTCGACTAAGGTAAAAGCATTGTGTGGGCAAGAAGTTTTGAGCTCCTGGTCCATCCAGGTGAGAAATTGTACAGGTGAGAAAACTGAGCCTTGGGGAGTATGAGAATCTTCAGTCCCCTCCAAAGTCAATGCTTTAGTCCCAATTGAGTTGTGAGCAGAGGACAGATGCCCACTTAGACTTGCTCAAGAATCTACTGAAAGGATTCGGGAAGATCTCACCAGAATCCCAAGGTTGGGAAGTATATCCCAGCCGCACAAGGACTGGGAACCAGAAAGCTGGCACGAGACAATGCAGCTACTCTTCTTGGGTACCATGTGGATTTAAAGTCCAGCTGTCATCTTCTCCTAACTGCAGACCAACCTTCCTTGTCTTTCTGTTCCCTTGTAACAGTGGCCTGTTCACCTGCTGTTGGTTTGTTGAGATAAATGCCACCAGCTGACAATGGTCTCTGGTTCTCTGAGTTCAAGATTTGAAGTTTGAATCTGATTAGTTTCTGGCCAGCCAATGGATGGGCAGACCTAAGATCAGGTGTCCAACCCTGGGCCAATCAGCTGTGTCCGGGGGAAGGGTCATGGGGTATAAACATGGCTACCCTGCCAACCTATTCAGCAGTGGCTGCTGGAGCACAGGTTTTAACGAGAGGAGGTAATGGGGGGTAAACTACCCCAGAACGTGTTGACTGCATCGATTTTACTTATTTAGCAGGTGTGCGTAGTAAAGAGAACAAAGAATCAGGAGTCTATTAGGTTTAAGATCTAATGCTACCCTAACTGTGTGATATAAGCAGGAATCCATTTCCTCACGAATCTAAGAGAATAGTGAGACATCCTACATGGGCTTTGTTTTCTCCTTCAATGAAATGTAACTATTCATTATTTGAGGAATATCTTTATCAAGAAGACAAACTAATAGGCTTTCCCCTCAGACTTGTGTGTCATAATGATTATTTTGTGTTGTCAAAGATGATGCATTCTTCAGCCATGTATTTTGTGAGTTGGAATCTTCTTAACACTGAAGATGTATCTATTCTGTTACTTAGGTATTTCTTCATGAACGTTGTTATAACTGGTTTTACATGGACTTTTTGTAAGTGAGAAATACACTGTATATACTTATCGTTTAGTCACTCATTTATTTCTCTAGTCTTGAGTACCTCTTTTGTCCCAGGCTCTATGCCTA